AAAAAAAAAAAAAAAAAAGTGAGCATTTGGAAATAGCCTATGTGGAGAAGTTTTGGAATCTATCACAAGTGTCACTCAAGTCAAGGGGCATATCAAATTAAGACTTCCTTATGCTTAAGAGAGTCTGTTCAAACATGAAATACCAATTATTCCAGAACGTAATGTCAACATCTTAAGTAAAACCAGCTTTCAAGTTGCCTTTACTTTTAGCACTATATTAGTCCATTTGCATTACATGCAAATCTGAATAAAGTAATGTCTATGCTAATTCTAACATGTATGTTCTGACTAAAATGTTAGATTGACCCTTACTTCTTTCCCTTCCTATATGGTGGACTACATTTGTCCTCCCCATTAATAATTGATATTCCAAAGAAAAACAGTAGACTAAATTCAACAGACACGTTGACTACAATTAAGAGCACTCACCTTTCCATTTTGCCTTCCATCTGTGTAAGGAAGATTGTTCACAACAACTCTCCATATTCCAATCTTTTTATTATTTACCAAATTACCATTACGTTTCAGATCTGCTTCTATTTCTTCATCAACAAACATGTAGAAATAGACAGTTTGCTTAGAGTATTCACTAAAGTTACTCAGGTGTTATGTCTTATCAAAAGCACTTGATATAAAATGGAATTTATTTAATTATTTAATAAGCATTTTCCCATCTTAAACATAACAATTGAAGAAACAGTTTACAAATTCAGTACCAAAAATAGTTGATCCAACAACCACTCCAGTGCACTGCTCCATCTCAAGAAGATCATCATCTTCAATGTCAAATCCGGTCCCATGGCCAAGTTTTCTTCCCTTTACAAATCTGGACCCAAAAAAAAAAAAAGAAGAGGAAAACACACATCAAGGAAAATATAAAATCTGCATGCTAGCATGAACATCCCTAAAGGATAACCAAATGGTTTGGCCATGAAACTTCCAAGTTAAAGGTGTTAAATTCAAACGCTTTGTATGGTGAGAAGAGGTTTTGAATTATTCACTTAATTGTTCAAAAAGAGAAAAAAAGAAGAAAAAACCATACCCACAGCGCATACTCACTGACCAATATTTATTGGACAAATTATCAAAAAGAATTGGAAAAATAAAGTCTACAGAATTAGAAATAGAAATTAAAATCAGCAGATGAATATAAATTTTCAATGCATTGAAAATATAAAACAATAAATAGTGGAATGAATCAAATTAAATATTGGAATGCAATAGACTATAAATAGACTATATTAAAAAAATTCAATAATAAATGATGAGCTAAATTTATATACATATTAATAGGGAATTTTACTTTGATATTATTGACATTGGGATGGGTATTTATAGGATTTTAGAAACCTTAATTGAAATATAAGTAGGACTTGGAACAGAAATAGGAAACTGAATTTTGAATGCTGATCGCGTTATGCTGACACTTCGGATTACGTGTTGACACAAAATAGGAAATAGAATTTGATTCTGGATGTTTAACGCATGGTGTTGACATGTAACCATTCATTTATTTATATGCATTTATTATTTTTAATTATTAATACTTTATGTTAATTGTTGTAAAATTACTCATTATTGCTGTTATTGATTTTAATTATTGGTATAGGCTATATTATCCACTGTAGAGTTAATATTGCCCAAGGCTGAGCATAGGTACTGTGCAAAACATATTTATTGCAATTGGGCAAAGTTGGGTCATAGAGGTGATGAGATGAAGATCTGCTTCTGGAATTGTGCAAAGGCAACATTTCAGGATGATTTCACTGATAAGTTAGGTGATTTGTTTGCAAAGAATAGGCAAGGACATGATGACTTGTTAGGGTACCTTAGAGAGCATTGGTGCAAAGCATTTATCCAGAATAATTGTAAATGTGATGCAATTGACAACAACATTTTTGAAACTTTCAACTCTTGGATACTAAGGGCAAGGTGTAAGGCGATAATTGCAATGAATGATCATATTAGGGATCAGTTGATGGTTAGGATAGCTGATAAAAGGTTATTTGCAGAAAAATGACCTGAAGGTGATGACATTAGTCCTAGAATCAGAAAAAAGCTTAAGGAACTGAAGGCAGAGTCACAGGGATGTAGTGTGCAGCCAAATGGGGTTAATGAGTTTAAGGTCAATGATGGTGGGGATCAGCATGTTGTCAAATTTAATGACAAAACTTGCACATGTAGATATTGGCAACTCTCGGGGGTTTCTTGCCCTCATGCTTTGGCTTGCATAAGGTACAAAAGGTGGAGAGTAGAGCACTACATTTCAGATTTTTATAAGAAAAATATTTGGCTACCTATGCATACCCTCTTCAATGCATAAGGAAAGGGACAAAAGCATGGAAGGCTGTGGGTGAAGAAGAGTTGTTACCACCACTTGTTAAGAGCATGCCAAGGAGGCTGAGGAGAAAGAGAAGAAGACATAAAGGTGAACCACAAAAGATCAAGAAAGGGAAGCTTAGGAAGCTTAGTGGAAAAGGGAGAAAAATGGCATGCAATGTGTGTGGCAATGAAGGGCACAATCAGAGAACATGCCCATTTAACAATGAAGAAGGTAGAAATGAGAGTGCAAGTGCAAGAGTGAAAATCACTGTAAGCATGATTACTTTTGGTTGGTAAAAATATATGCTTTTTTTTTTTTTTGATAATTTAGTTGGTGATTGAGGATATTTTTCCCTTTGAAACTGTATTTCTCCCCCATGAATTTAGTGGATGCTTGAAGGAACATGCCTTAAAACTGTTTTTTTGGTTCCAGGGTGTAAACAAGAGAAAGAAACAGGGAGGTGAAGGTGCCTCAACCTCAGGTAGCAAGAAAAAGAAGGCGAGGGTCCCTACAACCACAGGGAGCTTTATTGTATGTTTGAAACCATATTCTTTTATATATATATATATATATATATATAAGTTTTATAGTTAGATTGTTAAATGCATTTGCATGTTGAATGATGTAGGGTGTTGATGATGCTGTTGCCAGTAGTGTGCCTACAAGACCTACCACAACAGAAGGCAATGAGAAGCCGTAAATATTGCTTTTTAAATGGAGATGTTTTGTTAGTTACTTTTTGTCTTTTTTGAATAGTGGTGATTTAGGGCTTTGGTTTATTCAAATTGTGACCAAATAGGTTAAACCAATATCATGTCCTTATCTATATAGCTTGAATTAGTGAATGACCAAAAACAACAGTATATATGGTCATATGGATTCACCATTTTGAATATTTTGTAATAGTAAATTGCAAAAACAACACTTAATGTATGGTCGAATAGGGGATTTGGTTTTGTATATTTTCTTTCAATGAATGGCAAAAAATAGAAATTATTTGTATACCTTGTTTGCAAACAAGTGATAGTGATGTACACAACAAAACAAGACATTTCATTCATTTACATAAATTTTTTACCAAATTGGGTATAACTTCTGGCCATTTCCAAAGTTACATGAAATGCCCAAAAACACACATAACCACACTCATATTTCTAACATTCTACCAAAACAAGAAGTTTATAAATGCCAAATTCAGAAAGCAAAGTGCAACAATAACACATCCAAGTTTACAGAATGTAGTCTGCATTTTCTTTTCCAACAAATTCTCCATTTCATGCATCCTTTTTTCCACCTTATTAATTTTAGACAGTTGATCACAACCAACTTCTTCCACTGGCTGATTAGTTGTCGTTTCCTCTATCCCCTCGTTCACACTAACACTTTGCCTTTGCCTTGTTTGCTCAACATCTTCCTCATTACTATGCTTCAATTGCTTCCTTAGCTTAAAATTTTCCCTTAACAGTTTCTTCTTTTCGTTATAGAAGTACCAAATAACATTTTTGGCCCTTTGGGTGAAGTCTGTATCATGCCACACAAAGTAATCACACTTCTGCGACACATCCTCTTCTTGTAACCAAATTGAGCATATAAAATCATTGTTCGAAATTGAAAGCCAAAAAAAAAAAAAATAATAATATTATTATTTTTTTGAAAGTGAAACCCACCCTCAAATCTGGACATCCATAAAAGCGACAACTTGGATTTGAGTCCCTCCATGTAGTCCACTGTGGAGCAAACTTACCACAGTCACAATGGCGGATGGGTGGTGGATAGTCGTACTCGGGAATACCATCATATAAGATGAAACGAGGACGGCTAGACGAAGTCGATGCACCACATGAAGCAGAACCTCGTGAGAATGAATTTCCATATGTCCTTGACATTTCTCTCTTAGCATAAATTGTGGTTGGGTTCAAGAGAAGACAGTGAAAGAGGAAGATCGTGGAAAGCTCAGTGAGGATTAAGAGGAAGATGAAGACAAACCCTAAATCCCCAAAATGGTTTTGCAGATCTGTTTTAAAATCTTTGGGTTTTAGGTTTTGTTTTTTTTTTGGTGGGGATGCAAGGACAAGCGGGAAAAGTCCCATGCAATGGGTCCCACTACACACGTGGCGTCCATGTGTGCAGAAAAGAAACCACATCATCAAAATGCAAATCCACATCTTAACTTGACGAGTAAGAAAATGCCACATAGTGCCACATCAATTTCTGGGTGCTACGTAGTGCATTTTTTAACAGTGTAGTGACAGCTCATTAAAATATTAGGTTTTTCATGGGTTTTGAAAAGTGGAAGGTGTGAATAAGGAGGAAAAATTTTGGAAGGTGGTGACCGCGGAAACAAAATAAATTGAGGGTGCAAATAGGGGTTTTGGCCAAGCACATTATAGCTTGAACTCTGTTTTATGGTCCATCTATACTTGTATTTGAGAGAATCTATCTTCTTTTTTACCTCAAACACTTAACAGGATTGAGGCATCATGTAATAACTTTGGTTTGCTATTGGGTTTCTGCTAAGAGAAATTAAAGATCCCAGGCAAGTTGCCCAGTTAATGTCTACATTGCTATACCCTGCTGATACCATTATACTCAAGATATGCTAAACAAGAACTTTGAACTGGACAAGAGGGTAGATTTGTTCGTGACAGTTGAGAATGTCATTGTTGTTAAATTAGGTACGATCACTTTCCAGTTTGTAAATCTCATCTTAAATCCTTCAGGCCTCCATTCACTTCTAGTTAATGTAACCTTATGCTTCTCCAGTTTTCAACATCTCATTGGCGGTCTGTTGTTGTTGCCATTTTCCTATGTGCTATTTTGTTTGTTTTTGTTGGAATGCAAATCTGGAGAAAGTTATTGGAGCCACGTCAACTCAAAGAAAGTCGCAAGCCTAGCGCGGATCCAAGGTGCTGGTCCGGCCTTTAAAAGGAAAAAATAAAATAAAATAAAAATTGATTGGCAATGGCCCCCCCATGATGTGGGCCCCACACTCACTAAAGTTACTTCTTATTATTCAAAAGAATTTTTTAAAAATATATTTTTAAATTATAAATTAATAATGTTTTATTATATTTTTATTTTTAATTTACATATATAATAAAAAAAATTTCATACTAACTACCTCTTTTTTATTAAAAATTTTTGATGTTAAATTTGATAAATATAAAATCTCACATTAACCTTATAAGATAAATTTATATAAATAAAATAAGCTGTCATAGAGAGCACGCAGAGTCGCAGATGAGTATAATTTTCTTTTTAAAAAAAGAGGGCTGCAACGTGCAGTCGTTTTTCGCTTCCACTCTCCAACCCTTTCTTGTTTAAAATGGTCACGTAGTCATTTTTGGCTCACAATT